GCTCTGTCTGGGCAGCAGGCAAGGTGAACCCACTGGGTGGTTACACTAGGGCCCTGCAATAGGAGTGCCTTTCACTCCCCTGGTAAGCACCAACTTTGTCTTGTGTACAGGCAGTGCCAACTCCATGGACCTGTGACCTGTGCAGTTTCCAGGATCCTGCCCACAGAAGGGAAACTTCATATCTGGCCTGGCACAGGGTAAACACTCAGGAAATGCCAGCTATTAGCTAGTGACAATGTCCTAATCCCACCACATCTGGAAAATGCTTTTCCTCATGGAGCCTGGATTCTGGACTCTCCTCCAACAAGTAATTGTTTCTAGACCCACGTGCTTCATTCAGAAAGTGGTCCACCTTTCCCCCAAAGCTTCCCCTGCTATAGCTTTTCCTATGTGCAAGGCCTAAGCCTCAGCTGCGTGCTGAGCTGACCCTTGGATACAGCCTGACTCTGTGCCAGGAGCCTGGCAGGCTCTGGGGAAAATGCCTGGTAGAGTGGTCCCTGGAACTTACGATCTCTGCAGAGACTGTGGCATCCCAAAGATCCGCTTAGAAGGCTATAGGAGCAGAAGGAGGTGACCCTGTGGGGTGTGGGCTGCATACAGGCTGAAGCAGCAGGCCAGGTAAGAGGGAACGGTGTGGAACAGTACAGAACATGGAGCCTGGATTCTGAACGCATGCTGCGTTTGCTGGGGTGAGGAAGGCAAAGAGAACTCTGGAAAAGAGGTCAGGGAAGAGGTGACAAAAGGTCACTGAGGGGAGACAGATGGAAGGGGAAAGGCGCATGGCGGTTAATGAGTGGAGGGTCACAGGAGAGGGCTGGGAGGGGATGCTTCCATTCTCCCAGATAAGCACATAGCATCAAGTTTAGAGACGCAAAGACAAAGACAGGAGAGAATAGTTAACAAACCTCAGGATAGTCACCTCAAAGAAGCAGGACCAGGCACTGCCATTCTAGCATTACTTGTGTATATTGTACCTTAATAACCAAATTCAAGATGCCACTTCTAGGGGCTATTCAATGCAGTTTTTGTTGTTGTTGTTGTTGTTGTTGTTGTTTGAGACGGAGTCTCGCTCTGTCACCCAGGCTGGAGTGCAGTGACGTGATCTCGGCTCACTACAATCTCTGCCTCCCGGATTCAAGCCATTCTCCTCAATGCAGTTTTAACAGCACAAAATCCAGAAAGTGGAAGAAAGTTTAGGAGCTTTTGGCAGCAAAATTCCCCAGATGGAGCAGTTTAAAGAAAAATATGACCACAAGGTGGGGCTGCATGGCCAGTGCAGACCTGCAAGTCACAAAGCAAGGCAGCCACCTCCGATAGATGCATTTGGAAGGCTGCTCCCTTCCAAGAAGAGCCCCTGGTGTCCCAGCAGTCCCTGACCACCAGGAAGCCTGCAGCTGCAGCTGCAGTGGGTCACCATGTGCGTGATACAACTATGCATGAAGGGTGAAGGGGTTGGCAGCTCAGCCTGGAGCATCTCTCTTATTCAAGTTCAGCCCCAAGTCATGGGTGCTTGGAACTTGGACCTGTTGACCCTCATCGGCTCTATCTAGGCAGCAGGCAAGGTGAACCCACTGGGCGGTTACACTAGGGCCCTGCAATAGGAGTGCATTTCATTCCCCTCGTAAGCACCAACTTTGTGGACAGAGCCCAAGAATCTATTCTAACACCCTCTCCCTCTCTCTCCACCCCCACGGTGTTTATTAGGCAAACTCAGGGGAAGCTGGCTACGCCAACAGGGCGGCTGCCTCTTTAGCTACATTTGCCAAGAGAGAAGGGCAGAGCTGTCTCCTCCAGGTCTCAGCCTCATGGTAGGCTCTGGAACCGCAGCAACACAGGCCAATGTGAGCCACCTGTGCAGCAACCCTCCCTCCCCATCCTGCACAACACAGCAGCAGGCAATCAGTTTACCGAATATATAGGAGAAAAATAATTTATTTATTTAATTTAAAACAGTAAAACTTCAGCTTCCCCCCCATCAGGGCTTGTATGACAATTCTGCAGATGCAAAAACTCACACTTTTGATGCCACGACTAGAAGTTTGTAAAAACAATTTTTCTTGTTGTGGACACGTGAAGAGTTCTGTCTGTACCTTCAGCCTGGGTCAAATAATAATCTTTATTTAAAAACAAAACAGAACAAACCAAAAACACCTCAAAAGCACAAAGAGGCAGACAGCGGCTGGTAAACCTAGTTAAAAGACCAAAGTTCAGAAAGTGCATGGGAGAGGGACGCTGAGCTGAGGACACTGTTCTGGCTGCAGAACGTGTTATGGCTGAGCTTACACTTGGGTGACTAGGGGATGCAGGCAGATAAACATTAACCACACTAACAGAGGAGACAGAAGCCCACTGGGGCTGTGCAAAGTGTCCAAGGAGCACAGCCCCTTTTGCCCTCATCAGATGTAACAGCCCTTCGCTTGAGCTCAGGCGTTCGAGATCTGTCTGGGCAACATGGCAAAACCTTGCCTCTACAAAAAATCCAAATTTAGCCAGCCCTGTGGTCCCAGCTACTCGGGGAGCTGAGGTGGAAGGATCGCTTGAGCCTGGGAGGTGGAGGCTACAGTGAGCCATGACTGCATCACTGCATTCCAGCCTGGGTGTGGTGCTCCAGACAGCAAAACCCTGCCCCACAAAAATAAATACATTAAAAAGAAGTAACAGAAGTAACAGCCCCTCCTGGACTTGTTTTATTTTTTGAGATGGAGTCTCACTCTGTCACCCAGGCTGGAGTGCAGTGGTGTGATCTCGGCTCACTGCAACCTCTGCCTCCTCGGTTCAAGCAATTCTCCTGCCTCAGCCTCCCAAGTAGCTGGCACTACAGGCACACGCAACCACGTCTGGCTTTTTTTTTTTTTTTGTATTTTTAGTAGAAACAGGGTTTCACTATGTTGGCCAGGCTGGTCTCGAGCTCCTGACCTCAGGTGATCCCCCACCTTGGTCTCCCAAAGTGCTGGGATTACAGGCGTGAGCCACTGTGCCTGGCCCCCTCCTGGACTTTTAGGATGTGACTTCCTTCCCATCCAGTCTTTCTGTCTGAGCACTACCCACCCAGCTAGACTGACTTGGTAACTGGATCTAAGGAGGAGGCGATATTGCTGTTTTCAAGGTCGGTGGGCCAGAGGCCTGGGCTAAGGCACTCAGACAAGCCCCTGCCCTGCCCACCTGGTCACCACCATTCACAGTGATCATTCATCTGTGGCAAGAGGTGGGCAGCAGAGGAAGCTGAATTAGATACCCGACGTGTAACTTTTTGGAGGTTTTTACAGAAGCAGATAGAGTGGCCAGTGGCATCAAAGAAATAGAATGAGACCTTGAGCCCAGGTACCCAGAGCAGGTGTTTTCTGAGCCCTCAGCTCCCTCTACAGGCCTTTCCTGACCATGGCCAGCCCGTTTGGGGAGTCACGTCTCAGCCCTGGCTTGGGTACAGCAGGGAGGGCTCTGGAGGCCCCTGCTGAGCAGGGTTGATTCTAACACTATTCCTCTGTGTCCTAGTATTGTCTTTTCTCTTTTCTCTGTAAATCATGTTCTCTTTTGCCACAAGCAAATTCCTGAATTTTTGCTGCCTTCTAGAAGCTCAAGTGAGGGTCTTTACCAGAGACATACCCAGAGATTTGCTGTAATGTCCTTAGGGGAGTCCAGAATTCACTTACAGAGGCTATCTCTGCCGAGTGGCTTTCCCTGGAGCAGCCCAGAGCTCTCTTTCAATCCTAAGGGGATGTTTGTCTCGCTAATTTCCATAAAGAAATCTGTTTTCTTGGACAGGCACAGTGGCTCATGCCTGCAATCCCAGCACTTTGGGAGGCTGAGGTGGATCACCTGAAGTCAGGAGTTCGAGACCAGCCTGACCAACATGGTGAAAACCCATCTCTACTAAAAACACAAAAAATTAGCCAAGCATGGTGACAGGTGCCTGTAATCCCAGCAGCTTGGAATTGAGAGGCAGGAGAATTGCTTGAACCCTGGAGGCGGTGGTTGCAGTGAGTCAAAATCATACCACTGCACTCCAGCCTGGGCAACACAGTGAAACTCCATTTCAAAAAAAAAAAAAAAAAAGAAACAGAAATCCATTTTCACAGGAAACCAAAAATCAGCATTTTGGACTCAGTCTGCTAAATGATTATTCCTTTCCTGATACAGATTTTGGTTTTGAGAGTCAAACAGGGATCAGCAGCACAATGTGACTTCGGTTTTGATCCAGAACCATTTTACTAAGCTCAGAAAAGCATGCTTTGTCGAGTTCCGATGGATTCCCAGGAAAATCACCTATCACAGGTAAAGCTGTACTTTCTCTCGCCAAGTCCCTGGAGGTAGCATCTCCACTTCCCATTCTTTGCCAATGGCTCCTGTGACTGAACAGAGAAGCTTTTTCTGAAATAAGACAAATGCGTTTGTGGAAGAGCCACAGAATAAAAATAGAGATACAAGTGCTTACTTTCAATTCTTTTCTTTTAAATGTAAATAATTGCTCCATGATCCATGCTGCCACTTACCCCAACTGAATACCAAAATAGCCAAATCCTTTTGAATCCTTTTTTTTTTTTTTTCCAGAGACAGTGTCCTGCTGTTTCCCAGGCTAGAGTGGCAGTGGTGCCATCCCAGCTCACTAAAGCCTCAAACTCCTGGGCTCAAGGGATCCTCCCGCCTCAGCCTCCTGAGTAGTGGAGACTACAGGCACGCACCACCACATAAGCTCTAGGCGAAAGAATGAGGCTCCTTCTCAAAAAACAAAACAAAACAAAAAGCTGAATCTCAATCTTAAAACCTTCACCTTCAGGGAGGAATGTTTGTTTGAGACCGAGTTTCACTCTTGTTGCCCAGGCTGGAGTGCAATGGCGTGGTCTTGGCTCACCGCAACCTCCACCTCCCGGATTTAAGCGATTCTCCTGCCTCAGCCTCCCAAGTACCTGGTATTACAGGTGCGCATCACCAAGCCCGGCTAATCTTTATATTTTTAGTAGAGAGCAGGTTTCACCATGTTGGCCAGGTTGGTCTCGAACTCCTGACCTCAGGTGATCTGTCCGCCTCGGCCTCCCAAAGTGCTGGGATTACAGGTGGGAGTCACTGTGCCCGGCCTGAGGAATCATATTTGGATTACTCATCTCTCCGGCCACTTTAACTTACAAAAAACTAAACTAAGAAGTAAATAAGCCAGAATCCCTCCCCGCTCACCCACTTTGGTCTCCCCAAGAACAGGAGGATTATAAGAAAGGAGCTGGGGAGACAGTGGGGTCTTCAGGGGTTCCCTGAGACGCCTCTTCCTGCCCTTGTTCCAGCCTTGGAATTGGAAGGAGGGAACCTGTGTCTGAAGTGATTGACAGGTGGGGGCAGGAGTGTGGATTCTGGCCTGTGCTTGACACTCAAACCCGAGCTACAGCAAGGGTTAGCAGCCCACAGAGGGCGAGGCCAGGAGGCGCAGGGAGACTGCTGTCCCTAAGCAGCTGTGCTGGGCTGTGCTCACCCCTGGTGATCACCACGAAACCTCAGGGGAACCTTCAACCTGGTGAATGGCAGCTGGTTCCTCTGTTGAGCAAACTTTCCAAGGAAAGCTGGGCTCTCCAGAGAATCTCAACACCCGGACCATGATGTCTCAACACCATGATGTCTGGATGGGGACACATCTCTGGGGCCCCCGACAGCTTATTTAATCACACGGAAGATAGGTGCACAGGTGTGGATCCCTCAAATTGTAAACAGTGCTGTGCAGTGCTGTGTGGCTCTCAGGACACCAAGGTCCACTGGGTGGAGGCACCGTGGCTGCAGTCGTGGACCACTGGTTTCCCTGAATCTCACTGCTACCCTTATGCAGATGAACACCCACCCCAGTGCGCCAGGACACTGGTACAGGTGGAACTTGCTGCCTGAGGATCTAGGAGGTAGAAGAAGCTGAGTTGGCGGCTGCTTTCCCAGTGGAGCCGAGAGCATCAATACCCGGAGCTTCCGGTGCAGCAGACATGCACTTCCGCCCCTGCAGCAGGGACGCACAGAAGCGCCCACCCCCAGGAAGGCGGCACCTATGCACAGAACTAGAAAGGACAAAAGCTCAGGTGCTTGGAAGTTCCCCTGAGGTCCCTTGGAATTCCTGAGACTCTCCTGGCTTGGAGGGCGCGGGCGCCTTGGGAGTGCCGGCCGGGCTCTTGGTGGGAGGCTGAGAAGAGCAGCAGCAGCAACAGAGAGAGAAGAGCCGGGTTCGGACGGCGCGGGTGCAGAGGACGAACATGATGCAGTTGGCACCTCCCTGAAACGTGTTCCCGATACCCTGTCAGGAGAAAAGGAGCTGTGAGCATGGGGCTGGAGTTGGTCTCAGAAACACACGTTCTCTTAATTCTTCCAATTAAGAGAAACGGCTAGGCTGGGCATGGTGGCTCACGCCTGTAATCCCAGCCCTTTGGGAGGCCGAGGCAGGCAGATCACTTGAGGTCAGGAGTTGAAAACCAGCCTGGCCAAACATGGTGAAACCCTGTCTCTACTGAAAATACAAAAATTAGCTGGGCGTGGTGGTGTGCACCTGTAGTCCCAGCGACAAGGAGGCTGACACAGGAGAATCGCTTGAACCCAGGAGGTGGAAATTGCAGTGAGCCGAGATCCCACCACCACACTCCAACCTGGGTGATAGAGCCAGACTCTGTCCCTGAGCCCCTCCTAAAAAAGAGAAATGGCTGAGAAACACATACACACACACACACACACACGTACACACATGCACACACATGCACACACATGGGGTGGCTGGGAAGTGCTGTGTACCCCAGCACCTCCCCCCATCCTCCCTGCCATGGCTGATCTGGGATGACCTTGGCAGTGGGCCTCCAGCAGGGCTCCAGATCTTCTGGGCTGGGAAGGACCCAGGAGCAGTCAACTCTCCTGGGGCTACTCCTAGGCCACTGGTGAGCACCTCCCCACCCCGGACCACACTGATCCCACTCTATCTCCTCTCTTCAAGGCCCTGTCTCGGGCAGAGAGGAGGGCACAGCACAGTGGGGCCGAGTTCCCTTCCTGCAGCTGTGCCTTGGCCGACACTGGGGTGCAGCCACTGTTCTGCGGGAAGGAATCAGGCTGTGCCTCCTCTGGGGGCAGGGATGACAACAAGGGCCAGGGAGGGCAGACCTACATGCAGAACGACCAGCACCGGCGTCTGCACCGCGGGGGAGTCACAGAGGGTCAGCACGAACCGCACAGTGCTCCAGACCCGGAGGCAGATGAAGATGAGTGGGATGAGCACCAGCTTCTTGTCCGCCACGGAGCAGCGGCGAGGCAGGCGGTGCTCCTCGGAGAGGATGGGCCGGTACTCAGAGAGCGCCATGTGCTGTGTGGGGACAGCGAGGGCAGACCTGAGCGGATGGGCACCCTCCCGTCACATCCACCCGGGATGCCCAGGTCTTCCCAGGGACCTGAACTAGCTCAGGGAGGCAGGGGAGATGGGCGGTGGAGCCCGGATCCTTTTCCTGAACCCTGACTGCTAGATCCTCCGCCCAGTCCCCATCTCCATGTGGAGGTCTCAAAGTCATCTGAAACAGTTCAGGTCCAAGACAGAAGACAGATCTTGACCCCTGAGGCCAATGCTCCCTTCCTGGTCTCAGCTCATGGAAACAACAGCTTTCCAGCTGCCTAGGCCAAAGCCTTGGGGCTCTGCTTTGAGCCCTTTCTTTGTCCCATAGCCCACATCCCACCCCAGCAAGTCCTGCGGCCCTCTTTGTTTGTTTAAAATAGATACACGGTCTCACTATGTTGCCCAGGCTGATCTCAAACTCCTGAACTCAAGCAATCCTCCTGCCTCAGCCTCACAAAGTGCTGGGATTACAGGTATGAGCCGCCACCGTGCCAACTTCTAACTTCAAAACAGATCCAGACTCTGGGTACTTCTGCCACCTTCTGCCACTGCCCCGTGTCCAGGCTGTGTCACCGCTTCTCTGGATGGGCTCCCTCCTCCGCCCTGTCACCCCGTCCTGCTCCCCACTGCGGTCCGTTCTCAACACAGAAGCAGCAGGGCTGCTTGAAAACCGGTCTGCTCCAGCGAGTCCTCCACTCGGAGCTCTTCAGTGCTCCCCACTCCACATGCTCCTTATGGTCACAGCGAGGTCAACCCTTATGGTCACAGCGAGGTCAACCCTTATGGTCACAGCGAGGTCAACCCTGCAGCCACATTGACCGCCTTGTTATACTGCAGACGCACAGCACCCACACCCCAGGGCTCCGCACTGGCTGCTCCCTTGCTCTGGAATGCCCATCTCCATCTGTCCCTGGGGCTCCCCCCTTGCCCACTTCAAGACTTTGCTTAAGCAGCACCTTCTGGATAAGGCCCGATGCCCCTACTTAAACTGCACAGAGGCCGGGCACGAAGGCTCATGCTTGGAATCCCAGCACTTTGGGAGGCCGAGGCGGGCAAATTGCTTGAAGTCAGGAGTTCAAGACCAGCCTGGCCAACATGGTGAAACCCCATCTGTACTAAAAATACAAAAATTAGCTGGGCGTGGTGGCACATGCCTGTAATCCCAGCTACTTGGGAGGCTGAGGCAGGAGAATCACTTGAACCTGGAAGATGGAGGTTGCAGTGAGCCGAGATCGTGCCACTGTGCTCCAGCCTGGGCAACAGCAAAACTCCAGCTCAAAAATAGATAAGAAAATAAATAAATAAATAAATAAATAATAAATAACTACACAGGCACTTCCTAGATAGTCCCATCCTCACGTTCCGCTCTTTATTTTAGTCTGTTTCCCATAGTTTGTCTCACCCTCAGTTCCAGGACATCATTCATCCTTGTTCCTCCGGCTTACTGCTTATCATCATCCTCCCCTCCAGAATGCAAGCCCTTTCCCTGCACAGGGAGGGCCTGCTGTGCCCCCAGCCCACCCACCTCTCCAGGAGGAGAACAAAAACGTGATCTTGAGCCAGTCTTGGCTTTCCTCCTCCTAGAGAATGTCTTTCATGAGAGGAAGGAGGAGATTCCTTCCAGATCAAAGCTGAATTTGTAAAAATAGATGAAACCACTCATAATGAAGATATGCTTTTTTTGGCCGGGAGTGGTGGCTCATGTCTGAAATCACAGCACTTTCGGAGGTCAAGACAGAAGGATCGCTTGAGCCCAGAAATTTGAGAGTAACCTGGGCAGCAGAGTGAGACACTGTCTCTACAAAAAATTTAAAGATTAGCTGGGCATTGACCAGGAGCAGTGGCTCATGCCTGTAGTCCCAGCACTTTGCGAGGCTGAGGTGGGCAGATCACTTGAGGCCAGGTGTTCAAGACCAGCCTGGCCAACATGGTGAAACCCCGTCTCTACTAAAAATACAAAACTAGGCTAGGCACGGTGGCTCACGCCTGTAATCCCAGCACTTTGGGAGGCCAAGGTAGGTGGATCACTTGAGGCCAGGAGTTCAAGACCAGGCTAGCCAAAATGGTGAAACCTGTCTCTACTAAAAATACAAAAAAAGTAGCCAGGCGTGGTGGCGCATGCTTGTGGTTCCAGCTACTTGGGAGGCTGAGGCATGAGAATTGCTTGAACCCGGGAGGCAGAGGTTACAGTGAGCTGAGATTTGCCACTACACTCCAACTTGGGCAACAGAGCAAGACGCTGCCTTAAAAACAAAAACAGAATTAGCCAGGTGTGGTGGCACACACCTGTAGTCCCAGCTACTCGGGAGGCTGAGGTGGAAGAACAGCTTGAATCCAGAGGTGGAGGTTGCAGTGAGCCAAGATCGTGCCACTGCACTGCAGCCTGGACAACACAGTGAGACCCTGCCTCGAAAACAAAAAATGCATTTTTGAGCTGGTCCTGTGCCTGGGACGCTGAAGGCCCAGGGGAGGGGAAGTGCCTAAGGTTTTCTGCCAGCACTTGGTGTCCTGTGGAGTCACTGGTGCATCGTGGCATCTCTGAGCCCCCAAGCTTCTGCAACTCACCTGCTCAGAGCCTTCCTCCTCCTCCTCCTTCTCCTCCTCCTCCTCCTATGGCTTTTAGCAGCAGCCCAGTGAGCTGGACTTCCCGCTGCATCCCTCCGAAACAAGTAGGGGAGCTACAGGGTGGGACTGCTGCACGAACTGCCCACTAGCTTGGCTGCAGTCTGCTCCTAGCGGTGCCTGTCCCAGCTCACCGACTCTTGGCTCTTTCCTAGCTAGAGGCAACTAGCACATTCTCAGCTCCCTGCCCACTGCTACCCCGTTTTTCTGAAACACTTGCTGATTTGGAAAAGAGGACCCATTGTCACCCGCAGGGGTCAGCCTCAGCCCCGCAGGCTTCCTGCCCTGCCAAAGGAAAGGCAGAAAGAAAGACACACAAAGGGCATCTGTAGAGAAGAGTCCTGGGCAGGGCCTGGCGGAACGCCTGAGAGCCTTCATCGGGGTCCCGGAAACTTCCCAGGGCAGTGGAAAAGAAGAGGAGGTGAGAAGGGCATCCATCACCCAGGCAGGAGACCAACAGTTAATAAAAGGCTATACGAAGACAAAAGAGGATTTTTTTTTTTTTTTTTTTTTGAGACAGGAATCACTCTGCCACCCAGGCTGGAATACAGTGAACTCCCAGGCTCAAGCGATCCTCCTGCCTCACTGTCTCAGCCTCTCAAGTAGCCAGGACTATAGGCATGCACCAGCACACCAGCTAATTTTTTTTTTTTTTTTTTGAGATGGAGTCTTGCTCTGTCGCCCAGGCTGGCATACAATGATACAATCTCGGCTCACTGCAACCTCTGCCTGCTGGATTCAAGTGATTCTCCTGCCTCAGCCTCCTGAGAAGCTGGGATTACAGGCACCTGCCACCATGCCTGGCTAACTTTTATATTTTTATTATAGACAGGGTTTCACCATGTTGGCCAGGCTGATCTCGAACTCCTGACCTCAGGTGATCCACCCACCTTGGCCTCCCAAAGTGCTGGGATTACAGGTGTGAGCCACTGCGCCCAGCCTTAATTTTAATTTTAATTTTTTTTTTGAGGTGGAGTCTCACTCTGTCGCCCAGGCTGGAGTACAGAGGCACAATCTCGGCTCACTGCAACCTCCATCTCTTGGGTTCAAGCGATTCTCCCACTTCAGTCTCCTGAGTAGCTGGGACTACAGGCGTGTGCCACCATAGCCAGCTAATTTTTGTATTTTTGGTAGAGATGAGGTTTCACTATGTTGGCCACGCTGGTCTGGAACTCCTGACCTCATGTGATCCACCCACCTCGGCCCCAAAAACTGTTGGGACCATGGGCATGAGCCACCGTGCCCAGTCCAAAAAGGATTTCAGACCAATTGGGAAGTCCCACAGCCATCTCCAGCAAGGAGTCCAACTGGGGCAGAAGGGTCTAGGGCGGGTGAGAACTGGTTCAATTTCCAAGTAAAAAGAAGAGAAAACTAGAGGCCTTGATGCGAGAACACACAATGGGAGTGGAGGGCGGGGATTAGGTGTCCAGATGGCCACAGGCGCAAGGTGCATCCTGGCTCAGAAATGGCTGCTGGGTGGACAGAATGGCCTACAAGATGGGTACACACCCTCCTACAATTTCAGCCCTGAAAACTCAGAGGGCAAAAAGAAACACAGGGACTCACACCAGCAAGCCTGCAGGATGAGCCCGGAAGTCTGAATTTAGAGCATTTCCTCTGGACCTATCTTACTGCCCCAGCCACTCCTCACATTGAATCTTTGCCTGTAGTTACTTGCACTTCTGCCTCACTCCGGGAGGGCGAGATCCATGTCCGAGTCCTCAAGATAAACCCCCATGCTATACACAGTTTGGTGCTAGTAGATGCTCAGTAAAAACACACTGAACGAGGCTGGGCATGGTGGCTCACACCTGTAATCCCAGCACTTTGGGAGGCTGAGGCAGGCAGATCACTTGAGGTCAAGAGTTCGAGACCAGCCTGGCCAACATGGTGAAACCCTGCCTCCACTAAAAGTACAAAACTTAGCTGGGCATGGTGGCACGTGCCTATAATCTCAGCTACTCGGGAGACTGAGGCAGGAGAATCACTTGAACCTGGGAGGCAGAGGTTGCAGTGAGCCAAGATTGTGCCACTGCACTCCAACCTGGGCAACAGAGCAAGACCCTGTCAAAAAATAAATAAACAAAACTAAAGTAACATATGGTATGAGTGGTTGAGTGGATCAATGAATGGGTTAATCTGTGGCCTTTTGCAGGCGTTTGCTTGTGGCCAAGAGGAAGCCCCTAGTTCACATATGCAGACTGGGAGGCAGGAACAAGGAGGAACTGGGCCAAGGTGTCAGAGGAAAGCCATGCTTTCCCAGGCTCTCCAGCCAGCCCAGCCTACTGATTTCTGAATTCTGGAAAACTCTGCCATTTAGGATATAATAAATCACTAAGCAAAGTTAGGTGAGTTATTTGCATCATTGATTGTGAAATTCCATAGTCCTCCCTTCCCTGGGGCAGCCTGGTCTTGGGTCCATCCTCCCCTTTTAGCTAAATTTCTCAAGTTTAAGCAGCCACTACAGGCCGTCCACCAGGGGGCAGGAGAGGGCCGTGACCGAGGACACGGCAGCCCTGTCCGCAGGAGCCCTGCGCCCCGGCAGGCCCTTAATCGGCTAAACCTCCCTTTCCTTATCTACAAAGGAGCAAAAGGACCCGGCTCCTAATGGGGCAGCGGGAACCGATGCACGATCCGTGTAATACAGCGTGTTGCATGGTGTCTGGTGCACAGTAAGTGCCTGGTCCCCTCTGGCCCATCACTGGTTCTGTCCCCAGAGACGCAGCCTGTCCCCTCGGGTGGTCAAACTCAACGCCAGGCCTTGCACCTGGGCATAGAGGCCATGAGGAGGGCCCTGAGTTCTGAGGGCAGCGCCTACCGCTCTGTTGATGTGCTTCCGGACCAGGAGGTACAGCAGGGGCAGCAATATGTATGCCAGCATCTCCCACAGCTTCCCCGTCAGCAGCATCCACAGGACGTGGTCCTTGGCCTCTAAGTCAATCCAGCACCAGCCCACAGACACGTCCGAGGCATCGTAGCCAATCTTCTTCAGGGCGACGGCTGCCACAGTGATGACCAGCGGGACGCCCCAGCTGAGGAAGGAGGAGAGAAAGAGGCATTGGGGTCAGGCCATGGCTCCCAGCAATGTCAGCCCTCACAAAATGACAGAGGACGCCCTTCAGAAAGGGAATGGTGCTCTCCGGAGCCCGGATGGCACAGTAGCCCTGGAAAACAAGGGATAGGTGTTGCCCCAGGAGTCTGGCTCTACTTTAGAATTCTTCAGGGACTGGCATTAGAATGGAGTGATGTGGGACAGCCAGCTCCCAGCGTGTGCCCAGCTGCTTTTGCATACACATGTGTACAGAGTTCGAGACCAGGCTGGCCAACATGGTGAAACCCTGTCTCTACTAGAAATAAAAAAATTAGCTGAGTGTGGTGGTGCACGCCTGTAATCTCAGCTACTTGGGAGGCTGAGGTAGGAGAATCTTTTGAACCCAGGAGGTAGAGGTTGCAGTAAGCTGAGATTGTGCCATTGCACTCCAGCCTGGGTGACAGAGCGAGACTTCATCTCAAAAAAAGAAAAAAGTTTTGTATACATGTGTGTACAGAGCACATGGCCAGGCAGGTGTGTGTGTGTTTGCTGCTGTCATGACTGCTGTGAGTCACGTCCTGCTGTCCCAGGGTTCAGGCCCGTGGTGCAGACACTGGTGCTGCGTGGGGCCTGTCTGGTTTCTGTTCCGGGAAGCCTTGGGCACCAGCGTGCGAACACCTGTCCATGCTCGTGCAAATGTGCCACAAACCATCAGCGCCCCTTGGTCAGCCCTTGGGTCTAGAGGTGCACACGTCAGGGGCTTAGGGTTGCCTGGGCGGGGAATTCCAGGGTTCTGCTTACCTTCGGCCGGCTCTAGGAGGGGGAACGTGAGCTTTGAGCAGCACGTCCCTTCGGCCTTGAGGACTTCTTACGCAATGGCGGGGAATGGAACCTGGCAAGGGTCAACGGGGACCTCTGAAAGCATAAAGCTCAGGTAGGGGCCCCTCCAAGGGCAGTGTTGGGCTCAATTATCTTTTTTCTTTTTTTGAGATGGAGTCTCGCTCTGTCACCCAGGCTGGAGTGCAATGGCACAATCTCAGTTCACTGCAACCTCCACCTCCTGGGTTCAAGCAATTCTCCTGCCTCAGCCTCCCAAGTAGCTGAGATTACAGGCGTGCACCACCACGCCCAGCTAATTTTTGTATTTCTAGTAGAGACAGGGATTCACCATGTTGGCCAGCCTGGTCTCGAACTCCTGACCTTAGGTGATCCACCTGCCTCAGCCTCCCAAAGTGCTGGGATTATAGGCGTGAGCCACCACGTCCGGCCCAGGCGCAGTTTTCTAGAGTGCTCTCCCACAGCCAGCCACACAGCCAGGGGTAGGCCCCTTCCCTGTAGTCCCTGAACCAGACTGTTCCTTACACAGCAATGGAGCACAGGTGTGTTGGGAACATTTCACAACCGGCTCTCCAGAAAAACACAGACGTATGCAGGTGTGCATGTATGCATGTTTACACAAACACATAGAAATGTATAAATTTCACCCGCAGGATGTGAAGCATACAATTTATAAATAATAATAATACTCCTTCTTTACTGCAAAGTGTGGATGACCACAGTGACTGCAGGGTGTCATCGTAGGGTCGTTATGAGAATAAACAAATACATGTGTGTACAGAGCACATGGCCAGGCAGGTATGTGAGTGTTTGCTGCTGTCATGACTGTTGTCACGTTCTGCTGTCCCAGGGTTCAGGCCTGTGGTGCAGACACTGGTGCTGCGTGGGGCCCGTCTGGTTTGTCCGAGGAAGAAGACACAGTACCCCTGTCCTAAGTCAGGTGCCTGGAGGGCAAAGCCTTAGGTAAACAGGAATGATACTATGATAACTATGAGATCAAAATTCAACGTGAATCTGAGGCCAGAATGAGGCCAGGAGAATTGTGCTTCAAGGGGTTCTCCCAAATGCTGCAGGGCTGGCAGAGGAGGCAGGGCAGGGACGAAGATGACAGGGAAAAGTCAGTTCCCTGGGACTGGGAAGGCCTCATGCAGGATGCTTCCAGAACAGAGGGGCTCTGGCCAACCACCCCCTCTGCAGCGCTCTCCAGTCCCCACTGGCCTCTGTAGGGAGGGGCAGGAGTGCTGATGGCAGAGTCACGTCACCCTCAGTGGCCTCGGTGGCAGGAGGCAGCGTGTCCTGTTGGAAGTCACAAAGACACTGGAGCAAAAAGACCACAAAAGGCCAGGCGCGGTAGCTCACGCCTGTAATCCCAACACTTTGGGAGGCCAAGGTGGGCGGAACACTTGGGGTCAGGAGTTTGAGACCAGCCTGCCCAACATAGTGAAACCCCGTCTCCACTAAAAGTACAAAAATTAGCTGGGCGTGGTGGCGCGTGCCTGTAATCCCAGCTACTTGGGAGCCTGAGGCAGAAGAATCACTTGAACCTGCGAGGCAGAGGTTGTGAGCCGAAATCACGCCACTGCACTCCGGCCTGGGTGACAGAGCAAGACCCATCTCAAAAAAAAAAAAAAACAATTAAAAAAACCCCACCCATAAAAGGTAAGAAAGGGTTGTTTTAAAACTCATGATGGGCGGGACGAGGTGGCTCATGACTGAATCCCAGGACTTTGGGAGGCTAGACGGGTGGACCACCTGAGGTCAGGAGTTCGAGACCAGCCTGGCCAACATGGTGAAACTCGTCTCTACCAAAAATACAAAAATTAGCCGGGTGTGGTAGTGCATCCCTGTAATCCCAGCTTAGTGGGAGGCTGAGGCACGAGAATCCCTTGAATCCAGGAGGTGGAGGTTGCAGTGAGCTGAGATTGTGCCACTGCACTCCAGCCTGGATGACGAAGTGAGACTCTGTCTCAAAAAAAAAAAAGCAAGTGGCCTTTAAAGTGCCACCAAGCCAATCCTCCAGTCATAATGTGCTGTTCCTCATTACTTTACAGTTGCAGGATTCCGCTAAGGAATTCTGGGAAGGGGGTGAGCACTGTATGTAGGAACAGTCTCCCTGGAGGGGGCTGGAGTCACTCAAATAGGGGATTCCCCTCTGAGTTGGGCCTGGGAGGGTCACAGTCGGCACAGCACTCCTTTGGGCTCCCTCTACATCCCCGACAAGCCTCATGGGAAACCGGGGGACCACACAGACCTGCACTCTGTAACTTTAGGGTTGCAGTACTAAAGCTACACAGCGGTACATTTCTTCTGTGATACTGAGTTTGTGCTGGGAAATAACCAAAGGGAAGGTCAAATAGGCAGAGGGTTTTGAAAGGGTTAAGAATGTGGGTTTAAATTAGCTGGGCGTGGTAGTGCACACCTGTAATCCCAGCTACTCAGGAGGCTGAGGCAAGAGAATCATTTGAACCCGGGAGGCAGGGGTTGCAGTGAGCTGAGATTGTGCCACTGCACTCCAGCCTGGGTGACAGGGCGCAACTCCGTCTAAAAAAAAAAAAAGAATATAAGAATGTGGGCCTGATCAACAGGGAGGGGTTGTTTGAACACACAGGAGGAGCAGCTGTGTGAGGGCCAGAAGCTGCCGGGGCGGGAGTGGTATTTAAGGGAGAGGAGGTAAGAGGTAGAATCAGGGAGCCGGTGGGAATGAAGAGAGTGGAATGGTCCAATGATCCTGCAAAGCAGGCTGGGCCAGACTGACTCATGTACAGGCATGGACAATGGTGTGTTGGGAACATTTCACAACCGGCTCTCCAGAAAAACACAGACGTATGCAGGTGTGCATGTATGCATGTTTACACAAACACATAGAAATGTATAAATTTCACCCGCAGGATGTGAAGCATACAATTTATAAATAATAATAATACTCCTTCTTTATCGTCCATTCCATGCAGCCAACTGATTCTCACAGAATGCTTTTGTTGATTTCAGCCAAACCCTGGATTTTGCCAACCTGTGGATGCAATCAGCAAATGAGAGAGCTCCGTGGCATGAAGTTAATTGATGCTTTCATTTCCCTTAACAAGATGAAAATGAAATAAGGAAGAAATAGAAAACAAGACATACGTTGTCACCAACTAGTGACATGAGCAACTTCTTGGTTGAATCAGGTACGAGTTTTCTTCCCCCCACACTGGGAGAGTGTTTCCTCAATTTTTTTCTGCTCCATGATCCTGTCTCTTCTCATCTCTTCTTTCCATACTGGCTTTTCTGCCTGCCCCAACACAGCTGCCATCTCTTCTTAAGCTCAGAGATGAGTAACACTTAAGTTTAATCTATACCTTTAACGTCTTCTCCATTACTTTTTTAAGTCTAGATCAGGGGTCCAGCAAACTATGGCTCTCAGGCCAAATCTGGCCCACTGTTTGTTTTTTTTAGATAAAGTTTTATTGCAACACAGCCACACTCAGTCATTTACAGGTTGTCTACCGCTGTTTTCAGGCAGAGTTGAGCAGTTACAACTGAGGCTGCATGGCCCAAAAAGCTGAAAACACTTACTTTACAGGAAAACTTTGCTGACCTCTGCTCTACACAATCAACAAAGCAATAAATCAAGCCATCAAGCTTGATTTGTAGTCTTTGCCAACTTTCATGTGTAAATACTTCCACCATGGCCAATTTCCAGCCACCAACACGTGTAGTTGGAAACAGATGCATGCAGCACACCATTAAATAGTATTTTCACCACACAGATTTGATAGATGCAACAACCTCAAGTGTGTAAAGAGTAAAATAGCTATCACATGATGAGCTTTGAACATTTATGACTTTTTAAATTTTTATTTTATTATTCCCAGCACTTTGGGAGGCCTAGGCGGGCGGATCACGAGGTCAGGAGTTCAAGACCACCCTGACCAACATGGTAAAACCCCGTCTCTACTGAAAATCCAAAAAATTATCTGGGCATAGTGGCGCATGCCTGTAATCCCAGCTACTCAGGAGGCTAAGGTAGGAGAATCAATTGAACCAGGGAGGTGGAGGTTGCAGTGAGCCGAGATTGCGCCACTGCACTCCAGCCTGGGTGACAGAGCGAGACTCCATCTCGGAAAAAAAAACCACCATTATTATTTTAGAGACAGAGACAAGGTCTTGCTCTGTTGCCCAGAC